AACTCATCACGTAATGTGACTTATACAATTGTATTAAGTAGACTTATACAATTGTGTTAAGTGATATTTTAAGAAAATTTTTCAATTTGCCCAACTTTTCAAATCGATCTTATTTTATGTGACTAACAGAGTTGTCAAACTATCGATGGCACTATCGATAGTATCGATAGTTTCAATTTTTTTAGACTATCAATACTCATTGATAATTTTTTCTTATACTATCAAAAATATCGATAGTTTAGTAGGACTATCGAACTATTGTTGGTAATACCTGAATTTTTTAATTTGAATTAAAAATTTTGTTTTTTAGTGTGATGCCGACGTCATATTCAAATATGCACGCATTTAGCCCAAAATACATACATATGTTAATCGTAAATCCTGTTTTGTTTGTATAACTTGTGTTTGTTTTTGAATTTCTAAAAAGAGAAGTATTTTGGCTTAGCAGTTACTTAATTTTGAATGATTATAACTTTTATAAGATAATATTTATTTCACTATGACCTGTAAAACAAAGCAACCTAACTGATTTAGCGCTATCGATAGCGCTATCGATAGTTTTGTTTTTTTCGAGACTATCGTGAATATTGATAGTTTTTCTGAAAACTATCAAAACTATCGATGGTGTGACTATCGATAGTTTGACACCTCTAGTGACTAAGGCCGTATGCATCTACATATAAATGAACTTGACATCATTAATATAGTATAATTCAAATTTACATAATCACTATAAACAGTATAAAACAAAAATTTAAATATGCCTTCAAGCTTTTGAAATTTTATATAACTTTCTAATCTGTAAAGCACTATTTAATTTTTTAGCAAATAACGGTAGGTGGACAATCAATAACGACCGAAGACAAAATACTGTATATAAAAAAATTTAGCCAGTTGAAACTTTTTTATTAATTTGTTATAAAAATTGTGTTTTTGCCATAACCAATTCCAGAATTAATTACCAAAAAAGTTTCAACTTCCTAATTTTTTTAAATACAGTATTTTGTCTTCGGTCGTTATTGATTGTCCACCTACTGTTATTTGCTAAAAAATTAAATAGGTTCGAAGTGCTTTATAGATTAGAAAGTTATATAAAATTTCAAAAGCCTTCAAACATATTTTAATTTTTGTTTTATACTGTTAATAGTGTATACAGTAACTCACACAAATATTGGTAATTTAGTTTTTCAAAATATTCAAAATGTTTTAGAAATATATCTTGCAAACTTTGTACAATATTCAAAAAATTAATCAAACTAAAAAATTTTCATCAAAATTTCAAACTTTTCATTCAGAATTTTTACAAAATTTTGGAGTACGCAGTTTTGTAGCCCATTCAATTACGCATTTTCTTCCATATAAAAATAGATTTTATTTATTCGTTATATGGAAGAAAATGCGCCACACCCTCGACAAAAAAATTCTAAAAAATCAACGGTATTTTGTAACGACTTCAAACTTGCACTTTGTTGTACTAAAATTGAATGGGCTACAAAACTGAGTACTCCAAAATTTTATAAAAATTCTGAATGAAAAGTTTGAAGTTTTGATGACAATTTTTTAAAGTTTGATTATTTTTTGTGAATATTGTACAAAGTTTGCAAGATATATTTCTAACGTCTTTGTTATAGAATAACCTATATTTAAAAAAAAATTTGAGAAAATGGTTTCTGATTGAAAACATTCTGAAAAACTAAATTACGAATACTGTATGTAAATTTAGAAGAAAAAAATTAAGTGGTTAGGAGACAAAATCAGTGCATAGATAAACATCTAAATTTAAAATAAAATAAATCAAGTATTTAAGAGAAGAAGTTAGTAATTAATCGGTCTTGGACACGTTTTGCAACGGAAGATACTGAATTTGAATTTTCGTCGGTACCGTCTGCATGTGCATGTGTTTCTATTATTATATTATTGTTGTCAAGTTCATTTATTTGCTCGCCCAAACGGATGTTATGCAAGGTTGAGCACGCGTTCACAACCTTACCAGCAAAACCAGGATCGTATAATAACACCCTTTGTTGCGATAAACATCGCCACGTTCCTTTAAGTACACCAAATAGTCTCTCCACTGGATTTCGGGCTTTGCATAGCGCCTCGTTGTACTGAAATTTAGGAGTACCCTCAGGTTGGTTCGGTAAAGGCGTCATGAGCCATGGCTCTAAGGGGTATCCAGAATCGCCTAAAAGCAACTTATTTTTTAATTATGTACATTTTAAAGTAAATTAAAAAGAATACCAATCAAAAGCATGTTGCGGCTTCCATTGTCAAAAGCTCTCTGCATGACTCGCCGCACTGGACAGGAACTCCAAATATATGAGTCATGCCGTGCACCCGGAAACTTAGCATTCACGTTCAATATTTTTAAATTTGGGTCACATATCTGTAACAATATAACAAATGTTTGTTAGACTTTTATTTAAAATACTTAGCTTACCATTTGCACATTAATCGAGTGGTATCCGTGATGGTTCACGTATGCTTCCTCATGACTTTTAGGAGCCAAAATGGAAACATGCGTACAGTCAACCGCCCCAATAGTTCCTCCAACGAAAGGCGCAGGTGCTAAAGAAAACACTTCCTTGGCAGCTTGGCGGTCCACCTGCGTCATAGGGAACTTAACCTCCTCAAAAAACAGTCTGCTATTTATGGCATCAGTAACTCGATGTAGGCAACGGCTTATAGAGGATTGGCTCATTGATATGCCCCACTGTTCCCCTACAGGCCGTTGGTAGCATCCCGTGGCATAAAATCGTAATGTACACAAAACCTTCAAAGATAAATTTTTAGTTATTTGTACAATGATTTTGTGGTGTGGAGCAGAGGGGGAGGGAGTGAGACACCTAAAACCATACCCATTAGAAAGAACGTAGTCAAAACTTTAAGAAAAGTCATGCTTTCCCTCTCTGACCCCTCTAGGGACTCCCGGGGGCCCATTTGAAAATGGATTCACCCCATTAGCATTTCGACATAGAACCCACACCGAAATTTACCAAAGAGTGCATATTTCAAACCGAATTTATTAATAAAATAGAGCTTGTATATTTGAAATCTTTGTTTCAAATTAAGGTTTAATCCTTGGAGTACACGCGTATGTTAAACTCTTTAGATTCGGGTGACGCGTTTGGCATACAACCCAAAATCATTGTACAAATAACTAAACCCTACGCGAGAAATTATTGTATGTACATACATATGTACTACATATGTAAAATTGCATACTTAAATTTCCTTATTTAAAGATCTACCTGTTTTTCCGCCGATATAGAGGTAATCCTTTTACCTTTCAAGGCGTCTTCCAGCCGTTCGACGAGCTCCATTACGGTCTCTGGGCCCACACGAGTTTCCGGAACTCGGAAGGCGCCAGCTCAAATGGATCGTCAATGTCCCGGAGCAAACGCCGATCCACTGTGGGGGTATTTGCAATCCCATGATTTCGGTACAAACTAAACGCCACATATTCAAAAGCCATTTCTTTTATTTTCACTTTTTGTATTTGCGTGTATTAAAATTNTCACTTTTTGTATTTGCGTGTATGTAAATTTGTTTGGTTAACGCAAATTTAACAACACCAAACGAAATGTCGATAACTTAGCCACAGTCGAATCGTTAACGAAACAGCTGATTTTGAGTTAACGAATATCGATAAGAAAGTACTTATTGAATAGCAAAATCTTTAAAATTATCGTTTAGCTAAATTAGCGACTGCGAATGTCGTTAAAAAAGTTACCGAATCGCACTACAGAAGACTTGGCAAGCAAAATGTTCTTTGCTTACGGTTTGTATAAACATACATATGTACATATAGCAGCAGTTAATTTTATTTAAAGAAATGGCGTGTCGTCCATTTCCGTTGTAGCATGGCATATATTTAGGCGCAATATTTAACTTCTTCTGTCGGGGCGACATCTGGAGTCTTCTAATTCTTACAACGAGGTTCATATCTAGACTAGGTTGATATCAGAATTTGCCACAAGTAGCTTTGCTACACTATCGCCGACAGCTTTAACAATTTTATATTGGTTTTACGTTCTTTGGCAAATTACGCTCTGTTAGCCATAAATCTTACTATTTTTTGACCGCCTTTGAATCAAGACCCCTGGACCATATGGGGAATTCATTTAAATTTTAAATTGCATTGTCATCGTGATTGGAACTATGCTGAAAATTTCAAGTCTCTAACTTGTCGGGAAGTCAGTTTAAAATCGATTGGAAATTTTCGCGATTTGCGCGGGATGACCAAGTTAAATAAAAGCTTATAAAAAGATTTTCTTTAATAACTCAACTCCAGCGCCAATTGTGAAACCTAGCTATACAGACACCCACTCAAACACACACACAAAACTTTGTTGGTATCCCTCCAGCCATTTAGAATTTCACTCACAAACATACCTACAGAAGAATTATGTACACATTCAAAGATAAGGAAAAGTCAGTACGTTTGTACTTTGCCTTGCCCCCTTTTCAAAGAGGCAATTTTTCTCCATGAGTATGGGATTGATTTAATATATCTCCGTACGAAGTTCCAGTACTGTACCATGAACATTTCCAGAGATATAAAGTATGAAAAATTCGGTTTGTATATGAGGTGACACGCCCCTTTTCCAATAATTCCAATTTTTCTCAAGAGTAGGCGATTGATTTCATATACATACTATCTCCATACCAAGTTCCAGTACTCTAGCATGAACACTTCCAGAGATACTTATTATGAAAAATTCGGTTTATATGGGAGGTACCACGCTCCCTTTTCAAATAGTCCGAATTTTTCTTCATGAATATGCGATTGATTTCATATATCTCCATACCCAGTTCCAGTGCTGTACCATGAACACATCCAGAGAAATGCAGTATGCAAAATTGGTATTGTATGGGACAGCCCACGCGCTTTTACAATAGCTCAAATTGTTACCAAGAGTATGCGATTGTTTTCATATACAGAGTACCTCCATCCCAAGTTCCAGTACTCTACCATGAACATTTCCAGAGATATACAGTGTGAAAAATTCGGTTGTATATGAGGTGCCACGCCCCTTTTCCAATAACTCCAATTTTTCTCCATGAATATGTGACTGATTTCATATATATTCGTACCAATTCAAAAATTTTACCATGATCGCTTCCAGAAGTATGCAGTATGAAATATTCGGGTTGTATGGGAGGTACTACGCCCTCTTGTCCAATAGCTCCAATTTTTCTGCAAGCATATGCGATTGATCTTATATATCTCCACACCAAGTTCCAGTACTTTACCATGAACATTTCCAGAGATATGCTGTATGAAAAATTCGGTATGTATGGAAGGTGCCCCACGCCCTTTTTCAATAACTCAAATTCCAAGAGTATGCCATGGGTTTTATATATCTCCATACCAAGTTCCAATACTGTACCGTATAAACTGTACTGTACTGTATAAACTCTTTCAGAGATATGCAGTATGGAATATTCGGTTTGAAAGGCAGGTGCCACGCCCCCTTTTGAAATAGGTCAAATTTTTCTCCAATAGTATGTGATCGATTTCATATGCGCCAATAGCAAGTTCCAGTACTCTACCATGAACATTTCCAGAGATATGCGGTAAGAAAAATTCGGCTTGTTTTGTGTATCAAGATTTTAGTTAGCCTATCACCTTCCTTTGAACGTCTGCAGTAGGTAGGGTTGCCAGATTTTGTATGCGCGAAATCAGTACTTTAGGCTTTTTCATGCTAAAAAATCAGTACTTTTCAGCATGGTGGAATAAACAAGGTGATGTCAGTTACCTAACCTCACTTTGTCGGTAGCCCCATTTCGGCAATGCATATAAATGTAGTAAAAAAGGGGAACATTTTAGGACCATTTTAACGCCCTTTTGAATACTATTTTTAAAAAGTATGAATTAAAGAATTATTTTACCAAAACAACGTTAAAGATAATAAACAATAGTTGTGTTAGGTTTACCCATTTCTAGTAATATCCAGAAAAATTGGTACGAATTTTCATGTTTTGGCGTTTTCGTACGCAAAAACTTATTGAGAGATCGAAACCTGAAGTTCAAAGATTTTACTGCATTTTTAATGGATAAATTTTTACTTGTAACTTGCTGGATGCAATTTAAAGTAATAAGGAAACTGTTTTTGGGTTTTTATTATTGAAATTGACCAAATAAACCAATTTAAATATAAAATATATTGTTTTATTAGGAATTTCCTGCGAATAAAGAACCAATTTATCAGCTGTTCATGAAACTTGATAATTATTACTGGAATTGCGTTCACGTACTTTTTTGGATATTTTTTCTTTAAGAGCGAATTCGCAGAAATTAAGTTACTGGAGAGTTGCTGGCGAGTTACTGAATAATTTTTTAAACAAACACAACTACTCTTAGTAAGTTTTTTAAGGTGATGTCAGTTGGGGGGTGTTTGTTGTAATTTTGACAAATTCGGTAGCCCCGTTCTGAATGATGCTCTCTTGAAGAAAAACTACACTAGAAAAACTCCTTTTAGGTATTGTGCTGAAAACGTAAGAGTGAACATCACTGTCCTTGACATTTCTGTTTAGTTGTGACTTTTCCACTTAATATTTTTTGCAAAAATTGTGATTTGTGTGTATATTCAACAGCTTTTAATTTTGCGATTTTTTGGAGGTTTTCCGGACTTTGGCTACAAATTTAGGTAACCAATTTTAAGTATATATGCCAAGTGGCAAATAAAGACTAATTATGTTTACCTTCCACAGATTTGTGAATTGTGTTTTTTATCTCAGCGAGAAGCTGCGATATAAGTGCGATTTTTGGCTGCAAGTTCCAGGTGAGTTTATTCAATTGGCCAGGTTGTTAATAAAATGGTCAGTAAAAGTGCGTTTCTTGTTTAATAGGTTTTGGAAGTTGTGCCTGTTCACCTACTAGAGGCTGCAATACAAGTGCTTTACAAATAAAATTACGAAAATCCTTTTATAATTCATAAATAATCGGTCTTTTAAAAAGAAT